TACACTGCATCCTATACACTCCAGGATCAGTGCTGGTGGTAGTGACTGTAGTGTGAATGGGTTTATGGCCTTTACCAACTGGTACTAGAATACACCTCAGAGAAGAGAGGGGAACACACAAAAGAGATAAATCTGGTGCCTCCATTGATAGTGAAAATGAAATCACTTTGCCAGCAAGTGTAATACAACCAACTTTCTTCACTTTACACTGCTGTAGTGCAGTAGATGAGTAGGTCACAATATCTCCGATGTGATGTAGCGATTTGATATCTTTACTCAATACAAAGTCATCTTTTTCCTTTGGATGTAACTCCTCCACAATGATCCCTGCAGTAACTTCACTCATACGCTCCATCATCTGTTCCTTAGATCTCAGAACTTCTTGAGGACTGCCTGTCTTCAGACTCTGTTCCACATCATTCTTCACTTCCTCCAGAAGACTCAATCTCATTTCTGCTGATTTCATTTGCTCTGACAGCACCTTTAGTTTAGCATCAGTGACCCTCTTTGCCTGCTCAGTCAGTTTCCTCTCTGACTGACAAAGAACAGCAATCATTTCCTCCACCATTTTATGTATTTCTTCTAAGATTCCTTCTCCTCTCTCTCTGATCTCACCCTCTCTCTCTGCTAGAGCAGACAGGACCTTCTTGAGTGCTTCCTTCTTTCCTTCAACTGGTGATAGACATTCTCTTAACTTTTGACAGTGTTTAGTATAACTGTCAGTGATTAGTCATATTCATGATGTTTGTGATTACGAACTTGACAGGTAACACAAATTACTGTATTACATGTTTCACAGAATAGCTCCAAAGGCTTTCCATGATCACTACATGTGGCCTCTTGAGGATTTGATAAATCTGCTGTCTTCTTTGTTAGACTGTATATCTCTTTGAAGTTGTTGAGGTGGAATGCTACAGGAAAGGCTCCTGCTCCTTCTTTTGGTAACTCTGTATGATGACGACAAGTGGGACAAGAGAGGTAATAGGTCTCATTCTTCTTATCCAGTGGTAATCCCTCCAGACAGTGCTCACAAAATGAATGTAGACAAGGTAAGGTCTTAGGGTTGGTATAGTGGTCAAGACACACAGGACAGGTGAGCTCTTTCTCCAGTTTGAGTCTAAGACCAGGAGATGGTTTGGTTGCCATGTCAGAAAAGAATAAAATTGAGAATGTAAAATAAAAACAAAAAATGAAGAGAAAATAAAGGTAGAAGACAGTAAATAAAGATAGAGCAAGAACAAAAAATGAGAAAATGAAGAAGTCGGAAAGAATGAGAGTGTAGAACAAAGTAGAGCAATAGAAGAATGGAGCAACACAAAGACAGCCCTGATGACCTCTTGGAGTTTAGCATAGTCTTGTGACTAAAGGAAGTTATGATAGTACATTCCTTAACTATAACAACCAGTAGTAATAAATGAAAGCAAAAGTAAAACAAAAATAGCAAATATATTCCTGTATGGTGCAGTTTGCAAGCTAATTGCAAAATACATTTTTGCCTGCAAATGGTGTAAAACAATATGAATTCGTGATCTTAATCATTAGTGCATGTTCAGTAATTGACTGATCTTGCATGTGCACAAAAATTGATAGAATAAAACCGCCAATTACAATTTCATATAGCAAAATTATTAAAATACAAATGAAATAGCAGCTACTTATTGAGACTCGAGTCCATACTTCATGATCATCAGTTACCTATAGCATGTTGTTGAGACTTGCAATCTCATTATACAACAAATGTACAAGTACATGTATCAGGAAATTGAACAAAGACAAGTTTCATAGTTGTACATTTACAATGTACATGTAATTACTTTTTTCATGAGTTACAGTTGCACTTATAGATACAATACTTAATCTTCTCTTGAAGGACAACACTTCTATACCTTACCTTTAATGCTTTAAAACTCCTTCCAAATTTAAGAGGATTGTTAATACTTATTGATCACTAAACTCACCATTTTATCTTACATACACAAGTCGTTACATGTACAATATACATGTAATGTATGTGTGTACCTCATCGATGGTATTTCCAAGTCTTTAGTTGCCTCTTTTGCTACAATATCAGAATCATCACTATTAGCACTAACTGATGTAGCAGGACTAGGATTAACACTACCAACTGATAATGGAACTTGAAGAGAAAGAGAGAGAGAGAGAGAGAGAAACATAATAATAAATATAAATGTATTAATAAATAATGAGTGAATCCTCTTAATAGTTTTAACAAACACTTAACACAATTGGTTTTATCCATTAACGACAGGAAGGTCAAAAGCATGTACATGTACATGTACAACTAAATGAAAAACATCATAGTACACTACTATAGTGTATAATGTCATTTACAAGTGCATGTATTGTCCATTATTAGACATTCCATTTATACATGTAGATGCACGTAAACCTTTAATTAGTGGGTGTGGCTTACATATTAATATTTCTGTTCAATATTCTTCCTCATTCAACGTCTTTTCTCAATAATAGCATCTTCATCATCTTTAGACTCTAATGATACATCTAATACACTGAGGAAAGAGAGAACACTTATTGATACATGTATAAACACCAATTATTGATATACAGTACAATGTAACGT